ACCTCAGAAACCCCTCAGGCTAATGACCTCCATCCAGCAACAGGAACTGGGGGTGTTCCAAGCTTTTCATTCATCTGGTTCCAGCCAGTGCTAGGGCAAAATATGGGTGCCCCGCCATTCGGCCCTAGCCGACACTAGCTGAAAAGAATTATTACGTTGATGAATGTGCTGAAGGGGCTTGACACACGGTGTTCTAGCTAGGCCGACTTCTAGAGCGGCAAATAGAGATGTTATTTTCGATACGACTTACCAGTTACTGGCGCAAAAAAGGCTAGGAAAAGCTAGAATAAAAGCGGATATGAAAAAATTCGTTACCGAACGTTAACGAAATTGGAAATTTGCACACTAGTGAAAAATGGGCGATTCTGAGACTGAATGGAATGGATCTGTTATTTTGATAGCACTTCCGCCCCCAAACAAATTCCGAAAGCATCCGGTCAGTGACTCGGGACGTCCGCAAGATCTAAACGATACAACGGGAAGCAAAAAAAGCACCTCAAATTTGACAAATAACACTATCTGTTTCTTTGACATTCTTTCGCTCTCCCTCCATCTCGTTCTCTCGCTCCTTCCCGCTCTCTCAATTTCTCTATCTATATGATACGATCACTCTCTCTAATCGCTACTCTCTCTCTCTCGCTCTCTCTGTCTCTCCCTCTCGCTGTCTCTCTCTTCTCTCTCTTCGTTTCTCTCGTTCTTGTCTCTCTCGCTCTCCAGATCGTTCTCCATTTCTCTGTCAACATGATAGGAACACTCTTCTACCCGGCACTTTCATTTCACACACTCCCTCTCTCTCTCTCTCTCTCTCCATCGTTCTCGATCGCTATTTTTCCTCTCTAACTACGACTACACGCTCCCTTCAAAACCTAACACCAAATCACAGATTTCCCCGACTCATTTCCATCTCCTTGGTCGCCAGAGCCGATTCCAAGACCAAATTTCACACCCCAATACCCTCCACTTCGACTATGATTAAATTTTTTCCATAATCCCCCTGGGCTGGGCGCTAGTGTCCCACAACTTTTCAAGTGAGTCCCTTCTTTCCCCCGGGGCCCAGCCCCAGCTCGCCAAGAACCTAATAAGACGGCGGCGCGTAGGGCTCGGCGCGAGTAAATAAATTCGAAGTATAGAGCCTGCCAACGTGGTGGATTGAGTAGATGGAAAAAGGGCCGGGTTTGGGGTGTGAAATATTTACTTATTGGGCGGGTTTTACGTATTTTTAGGAAGATTAAAAAAATCGGGAGGTTTTTGAGCCTCAACAAGCCCAAAAAAATTAAGCATGGACGGAATTCGCGGGGGTTTCGAGGTGTGACATCGGTACCCGTTGCATTCTCTGCGTTTTAGGGGTAATTAGACGAATATTGGGCAATTTTTATCTTCGGGACGGTCAAAAAAAGGCTAAATTAAAGGGATGGTGACAGGAGAGCAATTGGAAGTGTCATTTGCTGTTTTCAACATTTTTTTGTGCTTTCTTGTCATTCAAGCGGCAGTACAGTTTCAGACGCACTGTGGTTCTCCAGCTTGTGCTCAGAAATGCTGCTAAATCTGCTTAATGTCATGCTTCCTTTAAAACGACTCCCCCTCTGGGTCTAGATTTCGATTAAAGGGGCAGTGTCAGCAAAATGTCCTCAAAAACCAGTTCAAAGACCAAACAATTGCGAATACGTGCAAAAACCGTTCTGAATTACCGTAATCTACCGTAATTGGCCGTTTCCAAAATGCAATAATGAAAGTGGAAGCAAAAAACATCTTCAAAATACACCTTCCCTTACTGAGAGTAGACACAAAATCCAAAAAATTCAAAGAAATGAAAGAAACCTCCAGAGTACACCTCTTTTTGCTTGTGTACCCAGCTAGGCCAAATTGCTTGGGGGCTTTTGGTAGGCGGCCAAATTGCTCGCGGGGGACCAGCCAGGCTTTTTTCCGAAGCATTCAACACGAGTTGTGAGTAGTTAGTGCGGGCAGAAGGCGCCGGAAATGGGAATTTAGAGTGAACGTGAACTTTTTGGAAGCTGGTGGTTTGGGTGGACCTTCCGGGGAATTTCGAACTGCTTGTAACATTTAATTTAGCAAAATACGCCTAGAAAACCACTTTTTTAGACCCTGAGAAGCCCCTAGCACCCGAAAAAGTTCCTTCACTCCAAAATTCAGGTTAAGGTTAAAGTTGACTCAGCTAAATCTGATCCAATCACTCTAAAACCAAATTTTGAATTCCTTTAAAGACGTTTAAAAAGTTGTTAAAACCTTATCACAAGGGTAAGGATATATTTCATGGAGTTCAAGGGTTTTTGACTTTCCACCTTCTAATGTATTATTAGCCATCGATGAAAACCGGAAATGCCAAATATCTATTAACCTATTAACTTCAAAAAGTTCCGAAAACGTTTACAAACCGATTGCAAAAATCTATTCTTCGATATTTTTTACAAGCTTGCTGCAAACTGTGTAAACTTGGAAACTAAAAAAGTAAAGTTTCAATTTTCTCATTTTCGTTTTTTACTTCAGAATTTTTTTAAATGAATACAAATTAAGAATTATTTAATGCCATTTTTTACCTTATCGGCCCTTTGATCGATTACCTAGAGTATTGAAACTTAACCGAACCGAAATATTGTGTTTCAATACTTTTAATCGAGTCCCTGGCGCCCCTAGAGTAGCTCAGTGTAGCGGCCGGAAGCTATTTATTGTTCTCCTCCCCCCTCCCACTAGCCCCAATCAACCCGCTAACAAATGTGCTAGATGTCCATCGGATCTCTGGCGCGTTGAAAAGGCAACACGCACTGGCAGAAAGAAGCCTCAGCGGAGGAGGAGAACAAAGATGGAGCTCTAGATTGCGTGGCCATTGATGCAAAATCTAGATTGGGCCTCGTTTCCGGGGCCCACAACCAGATGGCCATGTGGGCCATTGGCCAAAACACGAACCAAAAATGGGGGCATTTGTTGTTCTCAATTTCACATCAGAAAATTTTCCCCGGCTCGTTTTGATAGGGGAAAAGCTGCAAAAGGCAGGTGTTTTTGGAAAAAATGGCTTGAACTTTTTGAAAAGCTCTTTCTGGCAAATTAGGAGGGTTTTATCGTAAGATTGGAAAAACGAAAAGCCTAGAATTAGTGAAATAAGGGCACAACTAGGCTTATTTAGGAGTTTTTAACTGGTTTTTCATTTGTTTTCCTCTAAAATTCCGGCATTTGTATGGAAAAGCCGGAAAAAGCAAGTGTTTTGAAGTTTAAATAAGAAAACCTCATCCCAACAGCAGTTTTGCGTAAATTCTGAGGTTTTCAGCTTCATTAGCTGAACTAGAATCCTAGAATTAATGTAAATCGTTCATTAATATTATGACATTAATTTTTCTATTACTGTACCTGTTTTGCGCGTTTTTAATCGGGGTTTTCCTCTAGACTTCTGGCAAAAAATATCGTTCTTTCAGGTGCCACTTCGAAGTTTCTACGCTTTTAATCTCCGACCCACTCGGACCCGAGTTACAGCAATGACTACCAAATTTGACGGGTCCGAAAGCACGCAAATTCTCGTGAGATTCTGACACATTTTTCAGGGTAATAGAGCCCAATTTAAGGCGGAAAACAAGGTAATGTCTTTATGAAATCAGGTTAATCACGATAACAACATTAAATTTACTAAAAAACACCTAAAAAGCTAAAATTTGCCCTCCCGCATACTCAGGAAGCTCTGTAAATGAAGCTAGTAAATATTCCCCAATTAGCTCTTTACCAAAATTCAAACTTTTTAGATCATACAATAAACCCACCGGTTCCCTCCTCTCCTCCGGCTCCTCCGTCTTTAGCGGTGGCGCGTAGCTGGATCGGCTGCCACGGTAAGATTCTCGACTTCTTCTTGGTTGATAGGAGTTTCCATTCAGGTTTCCATTTAGGTGCATTGGCGGGTCGTTCGAGATGGAAAATTGAGAGGATTGTAGTAGGGGTTCGAGTCGTTCGATTTCTTGGAATGGTGGCTCGAAGGTTGGGTCGTATTTGAATTCGTTCTCGACGTCGATCATCTAGGATCAGGAGTTATTTGAATCGTGAGCGAGAGAGTGGAAGCGAGATGAAGAGAGAGAGAGAGAGAGAGTTTAGAAAGTGAGAGAGTGAGAGAGGAGAGAGGGTACGAGGGAGAGAGACAAGATAGGCAAAAATAGATGAATTTAGGTTCGAAGAGAGCGAGAGACAGCCAGAGAAAGAGCCAGAAAAAGAGTTTGAGACAAAATTTGACGATTTTAAAGGGAAATGGCCTATTGAATTTTCGTTCTGACAAGACAAATTTACTGGCACGCCCCCTTTAAACCTCCGAATCAATGCCTTTTCCACTAGTAATAAGAGCCCCAGATAGGAAATGAGATCGTAGCCTCATCTCCAGGCCCAGTGAGCCGCTCCCTCTCCTTGGGCGTAAATAGTAACAAATAGTAGCCCCCCTCCATGGTGGTGGCATGGAGCAGAAGGCCACGCCCTCGTCGAGCCGCCGTCCCCCATTTCAGAATTCCCCGGAGGGTCCCCTTGGGGCGGCACCCTCTTATCGCCCGGGGGCCCGCGCATTGGCGACAAATACGCGCGCCGGGTGTTCAGCAGCGAATAATATCCTCTCGGGACCCGGGAGAGTCCCTGAGTAGGTTTTCCAGGGCGGTGAGTAGCAGCTTACGATATGGGTAAAATTTGGGGTATACCTTAAAACGTTCAAAAAAAACTAAAAAACCACAGTACGCGCGATAACTTACGATACGCTACGGCCTGCGGAAGAATCAGAACTGGAATTAACGTGTACCTCATAAACCTTACACCTTAAAAACTCCACCGTTTTTGTCTCCAACAATAAGTATACCTTAAAATGCTTTATAAACTTAAAAAGAAATGACAGTGATAAAAAGTGACGTCTATAAATAACAATCGAAGGGTACAGAACAATTTGGGTAACACGTGTGCTGACAACAAGGAAACCGGAAAAGGCATCGGGGGGTACTTTTGTATTACGGCAGGCCGGGTGGTGGTGCTCACATCTTCTCGACGGGATGGAGGCCCAGGATGTCGAAGCACGTCTTCATGACGTTGGCGGTGGCGATGCAGAGGGCCATGCGGTTGTAGTGGACTTTGCGCTCGCCTGAGACATAAGTATAGAATTATAACGCTTATGAATTAATTAAATTACTAAAATTTAGCGTTAGGATCTTCCATTACTAAATTTTTAAAAATTTAACTAAATCAAACGGCTCAAAATTAAATACCTTTAGTCTCAATCACCCAGCATTCCCTGTAGAAATCGGACGATTGCGTGGCCAGTTGGTAGAGGTAGTCGCAAATCTAAAAAAAATTGGTTTAAAAAAGTTTTAGCGGGAAACGCAGGAATTCAGAAAATGCCTAACTTACCGGGTGCAACATCAGCGTGTCCAACACGAGCAACAACGTATCACTGAAGCGGAGGATGAGCTTGGCCAGCTTGAGCTCGCTCGGATGGTCCAGCGGGACGGAGTCGTTCGACGCGAGCCACGCTTCATATTCAGTTTGGGCACCGGAAGAGCGGAGGATCGACCTGGAAAGGTACGAATATTTCTTTTTACCGGAAATTTTCATATTATAATACCTTTTTTATACATTTTCCAAGATATTTTGGGCAGCAACCTTATTAGGGCTAAAGGCTAGGCGCGTTCCGAGGTAATACGATATCTTTGCGGGGGTTTCTTGATCCCCTAAGAAAAATGGGGGCCGTTCGCAACAGAAATTCTAGCAAACCTTCTTGAATAAAAAAACACTGTTTTTGCTGTTTTTATATAAAATTGAATAAAAACTTAGACCACAAATAAAAAGACAAAAATATTTTGGAAACCAAAGCTAAAACCCACTTGATTCGAGTGTACGCGTACAGCAAATACACGGCCGTGTTGCCGGTCGTCTCGAGCATGCGGTCGAAGGAGAAGACGTAATCCTAAAAACCATTTCAAAATTAGCATAAAAATTATACCTGGGTCCTCGTGTGCGAAAGATCGGCGTACTTGACGCAACCAAAAGCGACGCTCTTCTCGGCCGCGTCCAGCTCTTCTGGGGTCATGTGCTAAAGAACGAAGAACTTTCTATGTAAAAACTCAAATTAAACTTTTCGTTTTCAAAAATTAAATTAAAAAAAGATGAAAACATGAACAATTTACTTCATCCCTCTTCCTCTCGACCAGCCCCTCGCGAGCTCGCTTGCAGCCCTCGTCGAGCAGGTCAACGAGTCGAACCGTCTCGCCGGATCGAGTTTTGAACTTTTTCCTAAAATCCAGCCGCTTCAAGAAAAAATTAAATTCCTCACCTATCCTCTCCCAGCACCAATCCGAATCCAACGTGCTCGACACGTTTATCCTCGGGCTTGTACCAGCCGAGGTCGCGGCCGGCGGCGAAGATGGTCTAGAAAAAGATAAAAATAGGTTTAAAAAGTTTTAATTTTTAGATAAGTGAAGTTTAATCTTTAAAAACTACCTCCATATGCAAGCTCTGTCCCGAATCGATGACGTAGATCAACCAGTCGCCCTTCTCGTCGTTGAGCCTCTGCTTCAGGGCCGCCAAATCGGAAGTGTCGTAGGTGAAGCCGCCGTCGCTTTTCACCACGGTCAATGGGATCTAAAAACAAATACAAATAAAAAGTAAAATCTATTTCCACTTACATTGCACCCAGTCGGGAACATGACCTTTCGGCCGTCCTCCTCCTTCAGGACGCTCCTCTTCTCCAGCTCCTCAACGACGGCCTGCATCTTGTCCTGGTAGAAGGACTCGCCACGTTCAATAAGTTTGATGTCCAGGCGATCGTAGACGCTCTTGAAATCTAAAAAAAAATAAAAATCACGAGATTTGAAGCGAAATTACATTTTCGGCTAACATCGCAAATTTGCTGCCAGCCGTGGACGATCGTTGGTTCGAACGATTGGAGCTTCACGACGCATTCGTAGGCGCGGGCTTTGAATTCGGTGTCCTCGTCGAAGCGCTTTTTCGATTCCTAAAAAAAGTTGAAAAACTGTCGACCTTGCTAGAACATTTATTTTTGCAAAATGATGTTTTCGAAAGCAGGAATTGAACACCTATGTTAGCTCGACAAAAAATTTTCGAAACAGGGATTTTTCGATAATCAAATGTTTGAAAATGTTTGAATGTTGAATTTTCGAAAGCAAAATAAGATGGAAAAAACCTTGTAGAAAGCCTGTAGATCTCCAATCGGCGGCGTCTTTTCCTTGAAATCCGGGAACTTGTCGCGCAGGTGGGCGATGAGCATGCCGAACTGGGTGCCCCAGTCGCCGACGTGGTTGATGCGCAGGACCTAAAATATTGAATTTTACATAAAAATGGCCATAAAAATAGTATTACATCAAAATTGACGAGCTCCAACAGACGGCAAATGCTGTCTCCAATGATCGTGGACCGGAGATGGCCGACGTGCATTTCCTAAAAAGGTGAATCAGCAAAAATTATATATTTTTGCCTTGGCAATGTTCGGGGACGAAAAATCGACGACTACACGCTTCTTCTGGAGCTTGGGGATTTCTGGGCCCTGAAAACACGTCAAAAAAACCAAAATTTCCGTACCGATTTCGCCACAGTAAACACGCGATGTTGGATGTAGTCCTTCTTCAGGTGGATGTTGATGAAGCCAGCCGGGGCGACGTCGACCTGAAAACGTTGAAAAACTAAAAATTAAGTCCTTACACTTTCGACAAAGTCCGTCTTTGGCAGCTCGGCAGCGATTTTCTCGGCCACTTCGCTTGGGCGGATCTTGGCGCCGGTGGCTTTCAGCTTCTAAAACATCATATAAAAAGCTGCTAAAATCACGTATGTAAAACCTAAATAAAAAACAAGAATATTTTACGTTAGCAATAGCCATCGCCGAGTTGCACTGGTAATCTCCGAGCTTCGCATTCTGGCATTCGTTCAGCGCGATGTTGTCAAGCTTGATGTCCGGATAAGCCTAGAAAAGAAAATAAACTCTAAATAGACAATTGCAATTTTACTTTTCCAATGGCCGCCTTGAACAAGTCGGCTAGCCGGCGCAGCATGCTGCTCCCATAGTCCTCCACCTTGACGTAGTCGAACTTCTCGGTGAGCTTGGGGTTCAGTGCGCCTCTGCAAAATGAGGTGCGTCCTTTCCGAGCGAATATAAATAATTTATTCAAGCAGTGCAATATTAGAATTATAGCTTGAGAAGCGCGTTAGTAAAAATAGAGCTTTTAAAGCTCTTCGCTAATTTCGAGAACAGTTTTAGCCTATCAAAAACACCCAAAAACCATATTTTTTTCAATTTGGCACAATTTCATTACTTTTGTTCTTCAGCTGCGGCCGCCGGGGCAGCAGTTTTCGCTTTCTTCGCGCTGCTTGGAGCAGCCGTCGGGGAAGCACCATTTTTCTTGAGTTGCGCCTCCAACGCCTAAAAAAATACATAATTTTCGAGATGCAATAGCCTACCGCCATCAAGATGTTTTTCCGATATTTGAGCTTCTCGTTCCGGGTGTACACCTCCCTGAGCTCGGGCGATTTCTCTAAAAAAAATAAGAAACACGAAAAACAAAAGAGTACCTAAAAGATCCTCAATGCCCTTGCCGGCCGAATACGCCTGGATGGCTCGCTCTTGGGCGGAGAATTGGGCTTCCTAAAAAACAAGAATATGCGATAATTCGAGCCTTACAGCCTGTCGAAGTTGAATCGAGAGCGCGGAAAACTCTTCCTCTTCCGACGTGGAAGCCGTGGGGTTTACCATCCTAAAAAAAACGAATTTTATAGAGTTGGAGGGAACGAGAAAAAAGAAAGAAGAACAGCTCGAAGAAAATTTTAGGCCGCGTAACCGGGGCCTTACACGACCAAACGGCGCGCCACAAATGACAGCTCGGCGAGTCGAGTGTCAATCAACCTCGATCAACGCTAGAAGACTAGAAGAATTCATTCCTTTTGCCTTTTTATGAATTTAGAGGCTCAAATAGAAAGCAGAAGGGCGTATAGTTATCTGGAAAAGTTGGGCGCGCGTCTCTCCGTTTCCACTTGCGTCATGCTTACGCAAAACCGATGAAAACTGAGGTAATAATAAAAAATTAACTAAAAATAACTTCTCGTAAGTTTCCAAGAAAAATCAAGGCCAATAAGCCATTTTACCAGACTCCTCCAAGTTTCAATAAGTAAGATTTATCACCACAAAAGCCATATTCACAGCACAAGTTAAAAGCTTATAAAACATCAGAAGAACGAACGTAGATTAATGATATAGTTACAAAGAAAGACTGAATTCTTACGAGTCTAAACTTTTAAATTTAGTATCCGGTGCTGCTCAGGTATTCCGCCAGCTTCTCGACGGCCGTGCGAACGGTGCTGCCCTCGGCGGAGTCGCCCTTGTAGATGGCGATGAGAACAGCTGAAAAAAAATTTTAGGCGAGAATTTTTAGGTTTACCTTTCTGGGATTTTGCAGCAAAGAAACCAGTCTTGTCGCGCTTCCCGAAGATCACGGCCTCGTCAGCGCGGGGGACGACGTAGTGGATTTGTTCGAGGTCAGCGCCGCGAGCCGGCACCTTTTCCGGGGCGTTGAAGCCGGTGACGAGCGTCTTGAGCTCGGCTTCGGTGGCCTGAAAAGGAGAATGGGATCAACGTTCCCTTTCTTGATAACTCTACGGGCCCTACTCTAAAAGGTGCGATTTTTGGCGTTAGATTCAATGCAAGAATTTTCGAAATCTGGTTTTCGAGCTCCCAAAAAGCGCAGATAAACAGGTTTTTTTCAGGAAACAACTTTTTACTATGAAACCAGGCCAAAACATTGACTTTTAACCGAAACGCACCGCAAATTGCTTGTCGCCCTCGGTCCTCGCCCAGACCGACCCGTCGACGCCGACGATGGCAGCGCGCTCGATGCACGGGGAAGCCTCGGTGAGCGAGTTGATGTACGAGTCCCAGCCAGACATGATGATTGTTGAAACGACCTGAAAAAAGTATAGGATAAACAAGCTTTCTTGATAACACGCACAATTAAGGCAAACGAAAAAACTGCCGAGGAAAATTTCGCTGCTGCCAAGACAAAAAAAAAACAAAAATAAAATTGAAGGAGGCTTTTTACAAAAGAAAGCAAAACAAAATTCTGGGAATTCGCTGCATTCCGCTCAACAACCCTGACGAAGAGCGTATGGCGTCGCGTCGCGGAAACCCCTATATAAAAAGAAACGGCGAAATTTCGAATTTTCTACCCTTATATCTATTTTTTATTGAGATTTAAATATTGCTTCCCACTACGACAATTTTACAAATCGGTAATGATGTCGATGTAGTAATGATGAAGAAGTAATGTTCACTGCTTTGTAGCAGCGCAATCTCTTCTCTGACGCTAGCTGATCGTTTCGTCGATTCAGATGTGAATATCGAGATCAAAGAAATATATTTTATACAAGGTAAAGACCCGTAAAAGGCAATATGAAAAACACAGCTTATTCCTTCTTGCCCGTGATGCTTTTCAGGAAGCTTTTGATTGAGGGTTTTGAGGCGGCCGATTTCATGGGGCCAGAGCATCTGAAAACTTGAAAAAATTGATCCAAAAAAGCGTACTGTGCTATCGCCGCAAAATCGTCGATTAGGTCTTCATCGGCGTCGGGTTGGGCGCTACCCTAAAATATTTTTTTGTTAGCTTTTTTTATAATGAAAAACTTACATTTTCATCCTTTATCGCCTCGTCAATCATTTGGAGTAGCATTGGACGTTTGGCTTTCTTAATTAATGGTTATTTGGTTTTTGTTTACCAATAAATTCTATTTTATTTGTATTTTGATTGTTTTCAACCAACCTGTAAAGTTATCGACAAAAAGTTGTGCATCGATATCAGGAAAATCTCTTGCCATTGCTTGGAGAAGTACTTTTTGAAGGGCTCCCGGTCTTTCGGGTCACTGGCCATGTAGGGGATTGCTAAATTTGTATTTTTAAAGTTTTTATAAGTACTTTTTATACTTTTTATAGCGTATTTAGCAATCTCCAATCTTGCTGATTTTTTATTGTTTTTATTTGTTTAAAATTGGCTATTAGATTAGTTTTACAACTCTAAAATACAAAAACCCACCAAACCACTCACTCCACGTAGGATTCCCCACCGTCATGCTCGCCATTTTCGTGAAAAATTCCACGCATCTAAAGTTGAATTTTTGCTTAAAAGTATCGTTGAAACGGTAATACTTTTGTTTCTCGTTTTTCTGTATACATTTGACGATGTAGAGTTTGAAGGCGTCATTTTCGTGCTGGGTGGCTATCCGGCTCTCTTCCTGCAATTAAATTACATTTTTAGCCGCTTTCTGATGCCAAAAAAAAAACACGTTAAATTTTCACTATTTCTTACCCCAGAAAGTTGATTAAAAGTCCTTTCATTAAAATTGCTCCAAATTTTCTTTAGCGAGTCGATATCGTGCTTTTCGATGGATTGCGTTATTTCTTCGACGACTCGTTCGACCTGGAAAATTACTTGTTTCCCTTTTTTAGGTTGTTTTTAAGCCTTACTTTTGTAGTTTGTATTTCTTCGTTTTAGTCATATTTTTCGTTATTAGAATTTCTTGCAAGCAGATAAGTTTAATCTTTCTTAGACAAAGATTCTTTAGCCCGTTTTTAGATTTATCCCGTAGTTTTTAAGTTAAATTGTAGTAAAGTACGCTAAACTTTTGCTTTTTTAGCTGTCTCGATAAAGATCTGTCGCCTAGGTATCACTTTTCTGCCCTGCGGCTACATCGCCATTACTGCAGGGCATCATGCGCCAAATGACAACCCAGCCAATACCCTAAAGAATAATAAACTCACATAAATCTTGCCCTGCTTCTCCGTTTTCAGCTCTTGTTCGTAGGCGTTTAGCGTCGTAGCGAGCCCGCGGTACGTCAAATATCTAAAATTTTGTTTTTTAAAAAGATTTTCCTGATTTTTCTCATATAAAAATCCTAAAACACCAACCCTCTCACTAATTCATCGGCCAGCGTCGACAACTCATCTGGCATTATAAAAAGTTGGTAGCCAGCTGATAGTTTACGTTATGCTGGGCTCTGGCTTCTAGATGCTGGCTATTAGCCCAGGGAATGGGGGCTGGGGCTGGCGGAGGGTACGGTCGGTGGGGCAAGTTGTTGGAAGGTGCACTAATTTGCATCACAACGAAAGGTCCTGCTCCTCGCTGGAGTGGCAGCTCTGGGATACGGTTTTGAAAGTAGGACGGCTCAAGGTTTTGCTCAAATAAATATTTAAGTGCGGGTCTGCTAAACGCATCCGGTTGTAATTTACATCCTTGACGCTTCCCGATACCTTTAAAAGCCTTGGGAAGGTGATTTTAATGCCGTACCAATATGGGAAATTTTTTAGACACCATAGACCTGACTTGGGATGATTTTGAAACCCTATAAGCAGTACGAAATACACCAAATGACGTTTTTAGAAAGCCATTTCGATGACTTCACCAAACTCTTTCGTGGTTTGGACAGTTTAGTACTTTTTAGGGTACCTCTCACAGCAAGGGATGCTATCGCAACACCCGACCACCTCACTCACTCGCTCAGCTAGCCCGCTCGCCGAACCAAAATAAAAACACGGTTACGTTTTTGCACTAAAAACTGGGTCGCTAGACTGGAGAGAGAGAGAGAGAGAGAGAGAGAGAGAGAGAGAGAGTGAGAGCAAGTGAGCAAGGAAAAGAGAGACATTCGTTGACTTTTGTCGGGGACATCTAACCCTCGGTCAGCGAGTGGGACTCCTTGAACCCCAGATGGTTCTGTTCTTTTTCGATGTATCCACATTCCCACGGATCACCTTTCCGACTATTTCAGTTCCGCCAAGGCATAGTGGTTTCTCTAGCTCTCTCTCTCTCTCTCTCTCTCTCTCTCTCTCTCTCTCTCTCTCTCTCTCTCTCTCTCTCTCCCAAGGCGGAACGTGCCCTTCTTTTTACGGAGATAGTTCGCAAAATTTGGTGGTGTTTGACGATCCGATTATCATGGTTCGGTGAGTCGTTCCCGAAAAGGGACAGCTGGTCAGGGCTGGAGCGAGTCGGCGTGGTATTTTTGGTACTTCTCTACCAAAATTCAAATCCTACATTTTTTAAATCGTTAGTTTACCTGTTTCCCAGCGTTATGATTTTTTTGTCATTTTGGGGCTATCGTACTGCTTTCTATTTGCCATTTTTAATTTTGTATTGTATTGACTTCTACAATTTTCAGCTTTAGTTTTATAATACCGTCATTTTTATACTGCCCTAATTTTACCATACGCTTCTTAGTAGATACCTGTTTTCTTTAAGTATTCTACAACTTTTTTAACGACCCGAACCGGAAGCGGTAGTCCCACAAGATTCCTTCTTCCGCTTTCGTCTTTGAAACCTAGAATCTAGCTCCCAGCTCTTCCCCGTCTCGTTTTTTTGTTGTTTATTACTTCTTTTTCGCTGTGGAGTTGAGGCTCAAAACTCAAAAATCTCCTCAGACTCCCTTGGGAGGCCACTTTTTATGAATATGTGAGAACGCCCCGACCTTCCAGCAGCTTGCTTTCCGCCGGAATTTTCAGCGCTCGAGAATTCGGCATCTAATATTCTGGTAGTTTTTTCTAGTTCTGCTTCCTCAAAGGTCGCCCTGCAAAAGTCACGCGGAATCTCGGCATCGGAAATAGCGTAAAGGTATTTTTATCTTTCCTTTGAAACCCGTAAGATTTGGGAGAAAACACAGCAAAAACATCTTGATCGAATGCACTGGGCGCTGGTGGGGGACAGTAAAAAAAGTATTTCCTTGTTGCCCCCGCTGCCTGATCCCAGCTAGGCCACTTCCGGTTGACCGAATAAAGGTTTCTTCGTTTTTAGCTTCGCACCTTGAGGATCTTGATATTTTTAAAGGTTCAACGCGTGTTGTAGAGTACCGTAAAACCCGGTGTGATCCGGTTTCCGTGTTACTTCTGACCTATCTATTTTTTCCAAATTTTGCCCCCAGTTCTGCATTTTCACGTGCGTTATTTTACGTCCTTGGAAGAAACACTCCTGAAGATCTAAGCCTAAGAATATATTCGAATCGAACTTTCTAATTTTTCGTTTCCTTCCTATTTGCAGCACCGTCATCAATCCATAAAGAGAAAACTCTCACATATTTCAGCGCCTACGCCGGCTCATAAAACTCCTCAAACAAGAGAGTGGGGGCTTGTTTCTGAAGTCAGCGTAGTTTTGCCATTTCGGGTCGACTTCCCTGTATCATAAGGAAGTAAGTTACGCCTTTTTTATTCGAATAAAGAAGTTTTTCAGGTTTAAAAATATGCTACAGATCCTCTACGTATTTATTTTACTTTATTCTGCAACGTCAGCGTCAGTTATCCGTAAGATAAATTGGAGTAAATTTAAAGTATCACCATTTTAGGAAGATCCCCTCTAATTCCTACAGCAAGCCGCCAAAACCAAGTGAAAATTCCGAAATTTAATGCCGATGCGAAGTTTGTGGCTTGTAGTGATGCGGACAAGGTAAGCCTAATCTTATGTCTAAGCCTAAGCCTAAGCCTAAGCCTAAGCCTAAGCCTAAGCCTAAGCCTAAGCCTAAGCCTAAGCCTAAGCCTAATCCGAAGCCTAAGCCTAAGCCTAAGCCGAGTTTAATTCAAATTTAGGGTTCTCGTACAAAATCGAACACTTACGAGTCGGAATGCCAGGCCGGAAGGTTGATTTTTCAGGTTGGTAGCGGTAAATTTAATTTATTTTATTTTACCATATAGGTGGATTCTTATATAAAATTAAAGTACGCTTTAGGAAGGTATGGCAAGCGTCGAGTGGCTAAGCTCCAAGAATTACTCTACGCATTTGAACGTGAAAGATAGAGGGATGGAACTGAGCGAGTTGATCCAGTTCAAGGGCGAATATTTGGCGCCGGATGACAAGACGGGAATTGTTTATAAGTAGGTTTTGTAGAGTTTTACAAAAATTAAGTTTCAAAGGTTCATAAAATAATTCGAATTTTAAAGTTTAGGCTGAAAAAAGACGCCGCAGTTCCTTGGGTATATCTTGGAGATGGGGATGGGCAGAGTGAACACGGTAAGTGTAGAATTTTTCTCTATCTTTCTCTCTCTATCTCTCTATCTCTCTCTCCCTCTCTCTCGCTAACTACTTTTTTAGCCTTCAAAACCGAGTGGATGACCGTCAAAGGAAACGCGATTTATGCGGGATCCCATGGCACAGAGTGGCTAAATGACGATGGAAGCATTAAGAATTATAATCGCATGTTTGTAAAGGTAATTTTTTGAAAACTATCTTTTTCTTAGTTTATTTTTTTTTAAGGTGTATTAACTATAATTAAAGTGCCAGAAACATAAACTACAAATACAGAAAATCACCACCTACGGTAACGTCTTCCACTTGAATTGGACCGAAAACTACCAGAAATTGAGGAGCAAGTTGGAGGTACGTCACCAAGGTCCCTAAACCTAAGCGATGCCTGAGCCTAAGCCTAAGCCTCAGCCTAAGCTCTAATCCCAGCCAAGCCTAAGCCTAAGCCTAAGCCTAAGCCTCCTAAGCCCTAAGCCTAATCCTGCTTAAGCCAACGCCTAAGCCTAAACCTAAACCTAAGCCTAAGTCTAAGCATAAGCCTAAGCCTAAGCCTAAGCTCAATCTTAAACCGAAGTCTAAACCGAAGCCTAAGCCTTAGCTTAAGCATCCTGATTAGCTTGGTTTTTAGATAGACTATCCTGGCTACGTCATCCACGAGGCCGTGCTTTGGAGTGAGGTGGAGAACAAATTCTTTGAATTTAATTTTATATAGGTTCATAAACGTTGGTTTTTCCTGCCCAGGCAGGTCTCTCGAGCGCCAGTGATGAAAAATAGCTTTGACAACATGCAGGGTAAGTAAGCTAACAAGCTAGCGAAGGCTACACCTAATCCTGAGCCTAAGTTTACTCCTCAGCAATATTCCCAAAATTCCAGGCTCCAATCTGCTGCTCACCACATCGGACTGCTTCTGCGATATCACCATCACCGAGATTGGGCCGTTAAAGTTAGAGCTCGGGTTTTCGAGTCTGACCTTTGTACCGGGTATCGAAGCGTAGTCTTGATGAAATCTAAACGTCTTAGGCACTAATGACAACCTCATCGTGGCGATAAAAACGTTTGAACGGGCTGGGTACCCGTCGACCTCATTTTTGATGGTAAGTGGCTTCGAAGGCTTAAATTCCGGTTTGGCTTAGGCTTAGCTTAGGCTTTCGATAAAAAAACCATATATACCTTTTTGTAGCTCTTCGACATCCACGGCCAGGTCCTCCTCGAAGAGAGCATATTCCCAAGCTTAACGAAATTCGAGGGCATCACCTTCCTACCATCAGAAGACACCGTTTTTAGCTCCTTATGACTAACCGCCAATAGTACCCTTGCGAAACCAATTACGAGAAAAGAATTTAAAATTCTATTGTACAATTCGGCAGCTACAAATTTTTCTCTGCTACCATTTTTCCTTACGGCCATCTTGATTGCTGGTAGATTTTTGTAACTTCTAAGGAAAATTTGACATAGTTTTTTTGTTACATTTTCATTTTTTACAAATTTTTCTATGATTACATCTTTTACTGAGTGGCTTAACTAGCTTTTTCCTGCTTGATTTTGTATCTATTTTTCTCGTGGTCTGCTTTTTAGGAAAGAATTCATCCCCATTTTTTAGTGTATTTTATGCAGATTATAACTTGGTACTCGTTGATCTCGTGGAATAAAATTTTTTGCCTTTTTGGTTGTAATAAATGTTCTATTCACATTTTTGCACTTTGAATACACATCTGAAAACAGTGCAAAAGCTCGTGCTCAGGCGGGACCTTCAAAAACAATTATCGCCGCGAGAAATCGGGGAAGGAGAAGCTCGAGCAAGCCAGACGGCAGATCCGACAGGGAGATCGCGGCAGTCTGGCTTCATTTTTAGGAATGCCGCGAATTTTTGGGTTAATTTTTGTAAATCTTTATCCTTAATATCTTTTCATACTTTTTTTTGTTGTTCTTCTTGCTGTTTAGTCGTGTTTTTTG